TACAACAACATAAGATGTTTCTCTCTCATTTTTCTTAACAAACAACATAATCTTCATAGAAATATAAACCTTATACATAAATTAGAGGATCGATTGATATAGATATTATACATAATAACAGTATGTTTAGTCTACATAGGATTTTATATTTGATTTGTTATTTGTTATGTCTATGACAGATAAATACTATAAATATTAGCTAATATAAATAAATCCATGGTAATTACAAGGCTGAAATAATTATTTGATTTATTATGATAAGATAATGAAATATGAAAGAAAATTAATAAAATATATTGAGTACAATCTAATAAATTTGTATTTATTAGACAGTCTAGCATATTGGCCTTCAGCAATATAACCTTCGAAATTAGTAAAAAGATTTTGATCGTTTTCTGAAAAACCATGTAAAACTGACTCGTAGAGAATTTTTCATTGAACCTAACCGATTAGCTGTAGGTTCGCATACAAAATATTTTCAAATTTACACACTACACTCTCTCATAGTAGAAGACCCTTTCAGAAGGTATGATGTACGCGGTGTAATAGAAGGTCTCCTTGATATACCTTGGTATATAACAAATTCAATGTCAGACAATCATTATCAATAGATAAAATATGATTTCTGAATAATATGTATAGACAGATAATAAGATACAGATATACACACTAAACAAAAATCGATATCACATTTACTCTGATCTTGCGCCAATAGATAAAATCTATATATCAAAGCATAGAGTGCGATGATGATTAAACAAAAGAAAAGAAAAGATAATGCGTGTATGATAATACAGGTGATGACACACCGTGTCTTTACACTCCTGATTCTAATTATGAATAATCTAGAAAAACCCTGGATGAACCCTTGAAAACCAGGGAAAAGTTTTGTGGCTAAAATTCACGGAAAAATGTATGTCTTTTATTACGAGAAGGGGGAGTCCAATAACTTCTTCATTTCGCTTACCTAAAATACTAATCACTATGATCACGAATCCAAAATGTCTTTAACTATACTAGTTAAAGTAAAATCCTATATTACTTTATTTACTATATGGATCATATTACAACTTGCTAGACGGCATATAATTGAAAAAAAACAAGATAAGAATAAATAGTTTCAACCACATATAGGATTGCTTATTTTGTAATACGACTTTACAGATACATTCTAAACAGTTTTATAATTTGCATCTATATTAAAAAGATTAATTAATATAACTACTAGCAAATAAAGTCAATATACTAAAGAATCGACTCAAGTTGCAATAGAAACATTATTTTATTTCTTTAAACTATTCTGTTTAAATTTAAGTCTATTAGAAAACCAAATTTTATATCATAATCGATAGACTAGAATTCCAATACTATCTTTTCTAAGTAAGCTAATAGTATTATATTAAAAACTTACTGAAAGATAATCTGTACGATAACGTTTATTGCAAATATTACATTTAGCTTTATTACGTTTTGAAGATTTTTTTGTTATTTGTTCATCCTGATCTATATTCCATTGTTTATTTAAAGTTTGTAATGGTTCGGTATCATCATCAAATACAACAACTATTGAAAAGCAAAAAATTAGCAATTATATGTTCATCAGAATTCTATAATTAACCTGATTGATCACGTATTATATTATCTTGAGGATCATTACTATCTTCATGATCACTTTTCTCATGATTTTCTTCATTCATTTCCAATAAAGATTGATCTTGTTCATCTACTAATGGTGGTAATTTTCCTTTATGAATATTTCTAATATGTACTAAGAAATTTGATCGTCTTGAATATTCATGATTGCATATTGAACAATATTTAGTTGGATCAATAGGTTTTTGTCTATTATTTACCCAAGTAGATGGCCCAAATTTTTTCGGTAATGGTAACGAATCTTTTGAAGTAGTTTTATGTTTATTTTCTAAATAAAAAAATTTTTTCAAATTAAGAAAATAAAATAAAATAATTACATACTTAAACGTTTAAGAGCTTTTGTTGATTTAGATTTTATATGCTCTATATTATTGTCATCATTATTATTATTAATATCCGGAATAGTTTCATTCTCTTCTAAAACTTTTTCCTCCTCTTCCTCCTCCTCTTCAGCATCATAGATATAAATTGTTGAAAGTTGATCTTAAAAAAGAAAAAATCGTTATTATAAATAAATTCTTTTTTTTTTTTCATTAAAACCTTTTGTCAAACGAGGAATACGAATAACTGGTTGAGCAGGTTTCGTATTTTTAACAACAGAATGTTCAACACGATGTGTACGTCGTTTTAATTTATGAATTTCCCTCTGCATTCTATATAATATATTTGTCATTGTAATCATATATTGTTTATTAACTAATTGTGTATGATGAAAAAGTCTTTCAAAACGAGATCGACGTTTATTCGGCATATGTGAAAGATCATCTAGTAAGAAAAAATATATACTTTTGCATATTTTCAACAACATTTACTTTTTAAAGTTGATGATAATATCCGATGACGATCTTTTAATGATTGTTCAATTGTACTTGTCGATGCAACTGATGATGGTGATGGTGTATTTTCATATGTATTTGTATCATTTATACGAATTGATAAACGCGATGGATCAGGTGATGTATCACTACGAAATTTATTACAAAATTTTTTACATGAGGAATGTGGTTTTCGAACACCAGTGGATGTCGCCATTTTTCCACTGAGAATAGAAAAGAAAAATGAATCTATTATAAATAGAATAAAAGAAAAACAACTATGTTTGTAAGATGAAGTTAAATTAAAATATTAAAAAGCCAAGGACAAAGTTTTGCTTATTTGGTTAAAACAGTCATTTTCATTTGTAAACGATGTTTGAAAAGAAAAATTTTGGTTTTTTTTTTTTTTGTCATCTGAAATAAGAAAGAAAAATAGTAGCGAACGATAAAAAAAACACTAACATATAACTCTCTTCTGAAGGCTGTTTGTTACAAAAGACATTTAAAAAAGAAAATTTTTTTTTTTTTGTTCTCTTTCTTTTTTTTTACGATAAAAATAACCAACATAGAAGCATTCATACACAAAATGCACACATCCATATAATGTTGTTTTTTCTTATTTCTATTGCAGATGTTTGAAGAGTGAAAAAGAAGTAGAACAGACAATAAAGACGATGTGACAAAAAGTTTTCAATGAATATACACGATGCTTGATTTTTATGAAAATACAACTGAACATTTAAAACTTTTTTTCTTGTTTGTCAAGCTGACTAGATGATGATGATGATGATGATGTTAAGGTAACTAAAGGTCCTTCAGTAGTTGATGGTTTTAACCATGATGGTTTAAATTCATTTGCATCCGGATTTAATTTACTGTCTTGAGATTGTTCAGCCTAAAAGAAATATTATTAGATTAAAAAAATTTAGGTTTTATTTTGTTACTGAAATTTTTGGTGTATCAGTAAATTCAGTTTCTTGAGTCATATAATTCCAGCATTCTTCCATTTGAGCATATAATTCTTCTTGCTAAAATAAATAAAATAGTAAACATTTTGTTTTGAGAATAAAAAAGGATTATAAATAGAACAATCTATTTATTAGTGTCAATTTAATTCTAAGATTTAATGAAAGCAGATACCTCATTATCATTTAACTCATCATCGGAGAACTCATTATCGCATATCTAAAAAATAGAATTCTCAAATTCTTATATCTCACTTTATTTTGATCTGTATATATGAAAAAAGAATACCGTATTATTATATGTCCAATATTTTGAATACTGAGGAAAGGTCACGAAATATAAATGAATTATTTCTTCTTCTATACCTCATTTTGATACTTTTTAAAGGCATCTTGTACAGCATCAGAAAAAACTGAATCATCTTCATCATGATTATGATTTGTTCGTCTTTGATGATGATGATGATGATCTCTTGCATCTAATTCAGCTACAATTTCATCGGGTAAATTTGCATCTTCATCTTCTTGAAATGGATACATTTGTTGAAATAAACCATTTTCATAACTAGAAAATATAAATAATATATCTATTTAAAAAAACAAATTTTTTTTATAGCGTACGATTGAGTTCTATTATCAAATAAATGATCAGACATGGCCTGTGTATTTCTAAAAATAGAAATAATCAAAAATTAATAAACTTTTCTTTTTTTTTTGTCAACATACAATGATTCATCCGTTTCATAGTCTAATAGTTGATTTTGATAGGATGAATTGTTGTTATTATGATTATTCGATGGTTGTCGTGAAGAAGACATCTAAAAATCAAAATATAGCAATTTTTTATTTACATTTGTTTTTTATTCAATAGTCCTTCAAAAAATTGTAAATAAACAAATCTGGTACATGATTAAAGCGTTTCTTTCTTTTCAATTTCATGCTTCATTAGTTAACATAGTTTAGTATAAGTTACTTGACTGATCGAAAGGACAAAGAAAGAAGAAAAAAAACAACATTCGTATCGAAACATCAATCACTTGGCTAAGGTATATTCATTCGACTAGCAGTGATAGTAGCGTCAAATATATTTATGCATAGGATTTGATTAATTATCTATAAGAGATTTTTTTTAAGTAACTATTATAAATCTAATCATATTTTTTTTATTTACTTAATTATAATATTATACCAGATGTCACTGATTGTCAAACACAACCCTCGTTTTATTAAATGTTTAATATTTGATAGATTATATACTGATATGAACGTGATTTTTGACATTCTTTTTTTTTTGCAGAAATTTTCATATTATTTGATCTCAGAATACTATACTGATAAAAGAGAACTGTTTTTTTTTATTATAATGTAAAATTTCTTTTTCTTTTTATCTTTAATCAATATTTGTTTTACGTGAGTGTGACTATTGCTAACTAATTTATGTCCTTATAATATTTCATTATTCTGATGAAGAATTTAACATTTGGCATATATAATAATTAGAAAAGGAATAAGAATATTCTTTTTCCAGTAATATATCTCATAATTAATATATAGACTACTCAAATATTATTACTTTCAATATGATAATTGTACCTGAAAAAAAAAGATCTTTTTTTAAAGTGGTTTTTTCATATAAATTTAAGTAGTTTAGAGTGCATTGGTTCTCATAAATCACAACAGTCGTAAATATATATATATATATATAGATCATAGCAAAAGAATTTATATTACAAAATAAATATTTATTATCCTAGATTTAATAGTGATATTCATATTTGTTTTCTTCATTTTACTGACTCATTCGATTCTCCTCATTTCTTTTTAATAAAACATGCAAACCGAAATCCTACATCAAATAGCATACTTCAATTCACTATTTTAAATTTTTTCATGAAATCTTGAGGGTATAATGTCTCGTATAACATATAATTTAAAAATTAGCAATTTTTGATTGATATTATTCGAACAAATTTTTTTCTAATTATAGTCAGCTCAATCATTTTTATACGACAATCGTGACCATCAACTATTTTTAAGCATCAATTTTATTCCAATGATCAATGAAAAGTATGGCTTCGTCATGAATTCATTATCATAAAAAATATAATGCTAAAAATCTTTGTTAAGAACATTGCATTACGAAAGCTTCGAAGCAAAGTTTAACTTAATAGAATAAAACGACGTTGATAATTTTTCGTAACTATTCAATATATGTAAATCTAATACTATAAAATATGATTTGAAATTTATTTTTTTCATAAAGCAGTTTAATATAGATATGTATCATTTATGTCCTTGAAATAATATATTGTAATTTATCTTTTAAGAATTTAAAGATTCTAAATATTCTACGAGCTTCATATATGATTTTTACTTATAAATATATCAAATAATATTAACGATATCTGTTTTGATGTATCTTTATAAATACATACTCTCTAATGAATTACATCAGCTTTGTCTTTAATATATTTTAAAATGTCTATTAAAATATTTGCTGAACCCTTTATGGCCGGCTACCAGAAGACAACAAGCAAAAAGTTATCTTTCTATATATTCTTTGTTGTTTACTTATAGGAATCAATTTTTCACGGGCGACTTTTTAAAAAATGCCGTACCCCCCTACGGCAAAATTGTTACCTTTTGATAACACCCGGCCGTAAAGGGTTAAAGTTGAATCGACTGTACTACAACTTATACAATTAGATTTGTCGATAAATCGTGCAATTATTGAAATCGGAATCATATTTTAACAACTGTAGCATATTCTTAGTGCTCACCCATTATATTAAAGATTAGCTTGTGATTTAAATACGTACTACAACAAATGATGATGAAATGTATTGAAATTTAAGAGATTAGTAGTATTAATAAAGTCATCTTTTCTCCTCTAATGAAATCAATTTGACATGTCAAATTAATTCCGATGATTTTCAATAAATATCAACTAATTTAAGTAATACCAATGAATTTCAATTGAACAAGAATCATCTCGTTGATTCTACCAACGTCGATATTCTAAAGGTAATAGTATCTCCTTGAATATATTACACTGATTTTAATCAATTTCGATTGATTTTTCAGATTGTTAAAATGAACATATACCATCATCAATTATCTTAGATGAATTTAAGTAAAAGAAAAGTATTTTAGATGATCTTATTAATTCTGCTGACTCTATATGACTTCAATACTTTGTAGTTATGAATCTTCTCCTTCTACGTATTATATTGATATTTACATGTAAAAAATATCGGTCCTTCGTTAATGTCCTACTTTTTGTCATATATGTACTGTTCGAACTGATCTAAGTAAACTTTAGTCTCCTTGTACAATCGTATATTAAATGGAAAGTATAAACATATTAATATTATAAATTTCTTGTATAAACAGATGAAATACAACATATTCTTGAAAAATTTGTTTTAAACAAAGCAAAAAAAAATTTGCACTGAAATTATTGAGCTGTACTTATGTAATGAATTGTTCTTTTTCAAACAACAAAGAACATCAATCAATTGACCACTATACATTCATTTATACAATAATTCTTTCTTGTAATGCCCTTTAAAAATTGAAAATTTTCATAAAATAAATATAGAAATCAGTATATGCGGACGCGTATTTAGTTCAATAGAAAAAAAATTTTCAGAATAGAAAGACAAAAAAAAATCAGAGAGAAGAGTCGTCGTCGTTACATCGTTATCT